CCATGGCACAGGTGTAGGTTTAAAACAAGCTTAAGTTTGGCAGCTCCATCCATCATCACCAATTCCGAAGCTTTCTCCCTGCAGCTCCACTTTAAGTACTTATGGAGGCAGGAGTGTCTGAGAAACCTTGCAGAGGTTTTGGTTCTTTTTAAGATTTGCTTCCTTGTAGGGATTTTCTTGAAGCTATTTCTGTTCAGGTGGATGAGGGTGAAGTATGAGCTTTGCAATTAATTCCTGCCCAGGAAGGGAGACACAGACCCCCTGTAAATGTCACTGCAGTTTCTATGTGCAAATCTGAGGGTTTTGTGCTTTTGCACTGGAATTTCCTTCCACATTCCCAGTCTCCCAGCTTACAAAACTGGGGGCACAAAGAAACTGTGCTGTAGTATCTATTACATGTGGATATTCTATAAAAGGAAGATTACAGCCTCTTCTTCATCAGGGGCTGCCACTTGGGGGAAATGCTAAGCAGCAGTAGCACAGGGAGTGCACTACTAAGCCTGGGAGCTACTGTGTGCTCAGCAATGGGACCAAAAAGACAGCTCAACAAGAAAAGCAAGCAGGGCTTAGAGAGGAGAAATAGATTGCTTTCAAAGCTCTCCAGCAATCTTTTTTGGTGAGTTTTACAGTTAAGCAGAAGGTACTTTAGAAGAACCAGTGATAACAGGAAAATGTATTGAACACTCTCAGCATGAGAACTGGGAGAAAGCTAAGATAATCCATATAGTGCCCCAAGTCAACATGAAGTATTTATTTTTTTTTCCTTTAGAATGATAACACTGCACGTACAACCTGGATAGTGGAAGTGAACAGAGAAAAATGTAAAGCTGTTCAGCTGAAAGCTAAATTGGAAGAAGCATCCTTTAGGAAAGTGTACAGGAAGTGTGCATGAAATACTGCATGAAATTACAATTCTGCCAACACAAATCGTAAATAGCTCTGTAAAATGGGGCTGGGTGCCTCTCATTTGTGAGCAGCAAATAGAGCAGCTATGGCCAGGTGTGCTGAAAGGCTGCAGGCTGGTTGCTCTGACCCCAGTGTAAACCAGGGAGAAGAGTGTAAGGTCACAGCAGCAAATGGAAGCAGCATATAATGTAGCTGAAGTACAGCCCTGGATACCCATCTTTGTAGCTTGAATTTGCTGCATTTCCTTTACCCAGGAAAATCCGTTATGGAGGAAACCTGTCTGTGTCTCACATAAATATCCGAGGAAAACCTTGGAAAATGAGGTGTGAGAGGGTGGGTTTCTAGGTTACACCCACAGAGGGGGCAGACATTAGGGAGGGAGCAGGAAAGGGAAGCACAACACTGGCACAAGGGCAAATGGGACTGACTGCCCAGGAAGCTCCTTTGGCTGGGGGTTCTAAAGGGCTGTTGCCCTCTGAGTCACAATTTGCCTGCTAGAAGAAGCTGTGAGATACTTTACCCTGCCTCAGTTTTCTCTGCCACTGTCAGAGAGTGCCCTTGGGTTACTGCCAGCAATCTCAAAGTTTAAGTTTGGAAACCTGATGAGTATGAAAATGTAATTTTTCTTAAAACAGACGTTTCCTCAACCAGCAAGAACACCCAAGTACTCCAGAAGTGGCATGTGATTTTATTTTGAATGGCCATCATACTTTTTAAAGCCTTACACCTATGTCAGGCCTCATACCCAACCTGCAGTTCATGGTGTCAGCAGTTATTGGCATAACTGTTTAAAACAAGCAGGATGTCTTCAGACCCTTTGGAGGTCTCTTATTTTTAGCAAGTGATGTTTGGCAGGACTTGATCAAATTGAGGAACTTTGAGAAGAATAACCTGAGTGAAAGTTGGGCAGATGGCACCAGCAGTGGTGTGTGAAGTGTGGGTCAGAGGAGTTGGATCCAAAGGTAGCCTTGAGAAAGGATGCCAAGAGCTGGGGAAAGGCAGTGGAGAGGTCACTGAAGTGGCCTGGAGCAAATATATGACCAAATGCAAGTTATTAGCCTGTGATTTCAGCATGAATTACCACCTCAGCACAAAACTATTACCACAAGAGTAAAGAATCCCATAAACTATAAATAAGCAACAGCATCACTTCAAGAACTGTCTCATAAATGCTTATTTTTATCTCTGAATTGTGGCTTATTATATGGTAATCCTCCCACATATCTGAGCCCCTAAAGCAACCTTTATCCTTCTGGCAGCAGTCTAAAAAAAAAAAAAATCAACTGGACCTAATTCTTTCCATGACTTGCCTTTTAATTAATTTACGAACAGTGTAGCTGTTTCTGATCTTCTAGTATCATTTCCAGTTCTTCTATTTTTGCCACCTAATTTTGGAAACTCAAATGCGCTAGTGCAGGGATAAAAATGCTGCGGTCCATAAAACTTAATTAATTTTGTCAAGAAAGATCAGCTCTAGAAGGAGTGCCAATACAATTTAAATGCCACAGGTCATAACTGAAGTTATATTTCTGTGCTACTTCTTCAGTAAACTTTAATTTTAAGTGGCTGGCTGATACACCTGTCTGCAACGATTCACTTCAGCTACCCAACCATATATAAAGCTTTTCTTAAATCCCGGTGGATAGAATGTGTTTCTGTTACCTGCAGGCTGACCATTGCTGTGGAAGGCACAGGCCACAGGTAGCCCATTTAATTTGTTCTGTTGCTGAAAGGTGCTGATATGCAGCTACCCAAGGCTATTTACACATTGAGCTGCCCCTGGATATTAAGAAAGGTGGTGCGGCTTAATTTGTGGTCAAAATCTGCCTGTTAGATCCTGATGGTAGCTTAACTTGTTCTCACACGGATCTCTGTGATTCCCAGCACAAGGAATGAAGAGATTTTTGAACATAGTTTTAATCCTGGCATCATCTCTAGTGGGTACAGAGTGCACACCCCTTTTTCCTCTTGGAGCAGTTCACTTACATTGCCGAAGCTTGTGGGAACTAAAGGGAGCGGTGCTGAGGCCTCCTCAAAGTTGAGCCTTGACACCCTTCAGCTCCGTCTCTTGTGCAGTGCCTAAAGTGTATCATATCCATCAGAATTTTCCTTTTCCTGTCCTCCTGGGCATTGGTGGCATCTGGAAAAACCTCTCAAGCTTGGAGCTGCCAGTGCCCTAGGCTGAGGATGGCTGAGCCACATTGTCCATCCATAGGCTGGGTGTAGGCGACTGTTGCCACAGGCAGCTGGGACTCATTCTCACATGCCCTGCCAGGACCTGTTTTGGATGTGATTGTGTTTGCATTGAGCAGAAAATTAAAAACCACCAAAGTTGTCTTCGTTGTCTTCTTTACACATAACTAACAGAGGAGCCGCTCCACAAGCAGCTCCTGGTTGGACTGTTGAATTCAGTGCATGTGCACAGAACACCCCTGGGTATCCACGGGGACCCACCAGGAAGGATTGGCTCTCAGAGGTCCCATAATACAAGAAATGATCTATTGTAATGCAGATTTCCCCTCTTCCTCAAAGATGTAACAGGCACAGTGTTCTTCACACAGGCTTTGCATTGAGCAGTATTTCAGCTATCCTTGCTGGATTAAAATATATGCCTTGACTAACAAGTGGCTGTGTGCTGGGAGTTATTTTGGAAAGCAATAATGAGCTGCACTACTTGTGGAAGTGGGGGAAACTATAAAGAACCGTAAGGAGAAGTTGTGACAGACCATGCATAGCAATCTCCTCGCTCTTCACAGCCTCTTGAAGACTATCCTGCTGCTAAGCCAGAGGAAGGAGAGCCTTTCCCCTCAGCAAGTGCAAACTGTGACCAGCTCAAGGGTTAGTGCTGATGAAGAAAATTAGGTGGGTGTGCAAGAGAAAGGACAGGCCTTGCGTTATTGCTGTGACTAATAACAAAATTGCTGCAGGTTTTAGCAGTTAAGCTGTTTTTCTTCTGACCTATGGTAAGCTGGCTATTCCAACTAAGCTGCTTTTAGCTCTCAGATGTGAAAGAGATAGGTGAGCAAAGCCTTGCTCACCCTCTAATCAATGCAGAATTAAAGAAAGAGCCACTTAATATATTCTTCCCCAGTAATGACAGTGGCTCTGTTAACTAAGGAGGGGCTAGAGCAAGGGTGTGTGTGTGTGTGTGCAAGAGACTTTACTACAGCTTTGTGGTAACCATTAAAGCCATATCTCACTATATATTACACTTGCTAGTCACTTAGACAGCTTTTCAAAGTGGCTTGTGAACTCTTCTTGTCAGTAGCCATCGTGTAGCTGTCCAGCTCATTATCAGAGCCACCACCTTTGGAGATTTTTCTGTTCATTGCACTTTTGTGACTTTTAGGGTCTCACAGCAGTAGTAGTCAGTGTCTGCTGCTCCCCTCACCCCAACCAGAAGTGCTCCCCTTTGGTGCAAAATGGCCAGTGTCTTACTTTGGTCATGTCTGTCCTTGTCACCTGTTTCCTACACCCCTTAGCTAGCTTTTTCTCAGTGTTTGGAGGTCTCTTTCTCACATGCCCCTCACATATTTTGTTCCTTTGGCAAGTGGCATGGCTACTCCAGCCTCTTCCAGGTCTCTGCAAACCTTTCCCCCTTTAGGATAGAGGCCTTGCTTGGAGGATGGCACTTTGGGCTACCACACAATTACATCAGGTGCCAAATGAAGAATCACTTCTCAGGCCATGCTGAGGAATGTGTCTCCAAGCTCAAGGAGTAAGTGAACTGCAAGTTTGGAGTGCTTCAGGTGGAGAGTTGTGTGCTGCCTGACTGAATGCACCCCATGCTGACAGCTGCTGTATATGCAGGACTAAGAAGGAACTTTGTGAGTGGGAAGCATCATTTTATGTGCATGCTGCTCTTCTCAGAAACTTCACATGCTGAAGTCTTTCCTTAAGCCAGCCACAAAAGGCTTATTTGCTTTTTAAACTCACACCATTAGGGAAGGCATGTTCCATGCAGTGCACAACAGGGAGAAAAGTGACCAGTCTGCATTGCTCCCGTCCTGCAGGCTTCCAGTGCATAGCAGTGTTTCTCCACAACAGTGGAATGCATGTTTTTCTTACAAAAGACTATAGTTTCCCAAGACAGCTCTCAAGCCAACAGTCCATTTCAGCTTTATTTATAGAAACAGAAAAACTTACAAAATTATAAAAGATATAGAAAGCACCAAAAAAAACCCAGAAAACCATTTTAGTTCAGAAATAAGCATGCTCTATATGACCTTCAGGGTCATTTCCATATTGGAGACGGAAGTTCTGCATACATACAAATTGGAATCCAATCACTCAGTAGCACTTCAGTTCATGTAATAATGGTAATCAATAAGACTTTGAACAGATTCATGAATTTTTGCTCTAATGGTAATTCCATTTAATTACAAAGTTTGAGCAAAGTCTGAGAAAGTTCTTGCCCTTAGCTCAGTGCTGCCCCAAAATGGAAGCCAATCTCAGATCTTTTTAGTAAATTCAGAGGCTTAGAGCCATATACTCTGTGGCAGAGAGAATCCCTGTGGTTTCTCTCTGTCAGTCAGTCAGTCACGAGAGCCATGTCTTTGGCCAGGCAGCGTTCAAGGTAAGTTATTTTCAACAGGCCACGGTGTCTCCTAGAAATGGCTTCCAGGGGAAATCATGGCATTCTCATGGTGGGGGAGCTGGGGGACTCTTCAAATAAAAGGCTGGAGATTCTGCTTTGAAACAGCAAGAGATGGGCTTTTCTCTGCATGGACAGAGAGCTGAAGCCTCTGCCCTTATTTCTTCAGGAATAAATGGAGGGTAACAAGAAGGCTGCCATAGTTGTGAGCAGCAGAGACATCAGAAATGCAGGCAATGAGCAGAAGCCTGTCTCAGAAACTGAATTTCTTGTTGAATGGATAAGTTAAATCAGACTTGGCTGAAGCTGCAGGAGTGATGGACAGTAGGATACTAATTCCCAACAGGCTGAAATGTCTGCCAGGGGCATGGAACAAGTTTTGACATGCTTTGGGTGGAGGAAGCTGCTTTTGGAAGAAGTCTACTCCAGAACTTGTGGCCTTTTGACCATGGTTAGGGGGAGTGTCTAACTTTTAGAAAGACTAAAGGTCTTCTGGCTGCTCTTCAGTGTCAGTTTAAAACAGAACAGTGTAGGAGACGCCCGTAATATCAGACAGGGGAAGGGTCTCCCCTTAGAAAACAACATGTGCCAAAGCAACCTGCAACCTGGACACCTGTAGGTGTGACCTTCCCAGCTTTGGACAATACAACCTTTGGGAAAAGATGCTGCTGTTACAGGTCTGGCTGTAGCCAAAGGATATAAAGCTCCAGCTAATTTGGTGCCACTGTATTGGACCATTCTGGTTTTTTTTCTAAAGCTCTTAAAAAGTTCCTCCCAGGGTATCTGCAATATATTGCAGGAGCTGATTGCTTGGACACCACAGAATGAAGCAGACTGAACAGATTTACTATTCACCCAGACTGGAGATATCTCCTTTTGTAACAGAACAATACAAGAGGCAGACTCAACGTTCAAAGGTGGTATTAGCCCCAAAATAAAGGTAGTATTTAATACTTTAGCTCTAAGACAAGGCAGAGACCACTTAAAGCCCAAGGAGCTTTAAGAGCTTATTTGATTAAAAAGGAAAGCTGTTCTTTAAGAAAAGACCTTTCTCCCTACTCACTCTTTTTAAAGAAACAAAACCATTTCTAAGGTTACCAAAAAGGTGTTATTTTAAAGGCAAGATTTTAAATGAAGACATTAAAAAGAAAAAGTAGGCTTTGCTACAGTAGGTGAAAAAGTAGCTTAAGGCAGAACTACTCCAGTCAATGAGAATACAAAATGTTCTAGCTTATGTCAGAAAGCAATCAAGAAGAACTGATGAGCATCATGCCCTTCACGGAGTAGTGTAAGTGCAGGGCACAGCCCTACATGCCCCTGGACACCATTTCTGAGAGATTGGGCTTTTTGAATTCTCCAAGGTAGAATTTATTTTTTTCTTAAATATCTCAAAATAGGCAGGAAAACATGAAAACAACCCTCAACATATATAAGATACCTGTTCTGAGATGCACACTTCTGATGTACAGAGTCACAAAGATCCCGTTTTACAAAAATAACATAATTTAAAATGCTTCATAATTTCTCCCCACCCCCAGCTGCAGCCCATCAGTGTTTCTGCAGTTCAATTACTGCATTTGCAATCCAGAATCAATTAAATGAGCTTTTGGTTTTAATACATGGACTGAAGACTTGGTCTGGCTCACCCTTGTGAAGATAGAATATCCAGTGTAGAAAAACCATCAACCTGCCTTAATTGTTTGCATCATTCTTAATATGCAGTGTACTTCTGCTCCCATTCAATTCCAACATGAGAATAGCAGTACAGGAACCCAAGAACAGTCAGTGTCGCCCATGGCCAGCCTATAAATAGAAAAGACAGACAATTCTAGTCAGAATAATTAATGACTACTTCAAGTAGAAATACTCTTGGGATGACCAATTTATAATGCTTCTAATTAATTTTATTAGCAATTCAGTCTCATAAGTAAGTAGAGTCAACCCACAAAATTTGCAAAGTAAAATTGTCTAAGCTCCAAGGTTGCCTGACCCCCTGGCAGTCCTTGTCTTTCTCGTTTTCAGGGAGTTGGACCAGATTTATTCCTGTTGAATTACAAAGGTCTGTTTTGATCCTTTCCTTTGGATCTATCAAGCAGATTTCCCCAATGAACCCTGATGCTTTAAGCTGGCTATGATGCTTCCTAGGCACAAAGGGATATATAGCCACAATGAAGATTATTAAAAATCTGGACAATTAAAAATCTATTCTAAACAATTCTAAAACAATTCTAAAACAAAATCTATTTTAAACAATTAAAAATCTGTTCTGCAAAAGGAATCTGGGTGTAAGGCCTGATATACCCCTCTACAGCCCACTAACAGGTAATGTGTGTCAGTGAAGAACAGACAGACCTCTCTGCCTGATTTGCCTGATGCCCAGGTTATTTTTTAACTATAAAGACTCTTCCAATATATAAAGCCTTTTCTGGGGAAATAAAGTTTCATTATTTTTGCTTTTTAGCAAAAGCCACCACCTTTTCACTCAAACTTATCACAGCAAACAGCAGTAAGCAGGAGGTCACAAGCCAAAAGGTCTATTGCTTTCCAGTGGAGCTGTAAATAATTTGAAAAGTCTGTTATCAAGTAAATAATTTTGCATTCCTTGATAGCCTTCCTGACACCTCTATTTCCTTTTTCCATTCTCCTCCTTTCTCTAGAATTTATGAAATTTAAATCTTACAGGTTGAAATCCTCAATGCTAGGCCCTGATGTTTTCTAGTGTGTGTTGTCTGGGGAAAGGGGACAGAGAGGAAGGTGTTTGAATGGCATTTTTTGTTGACATAAAAATTTTGGTCATGTGCATGAATGGTTTGTCTGCATGCTGTCCTAGAACTACCATTATCTGCTTCTGAAAGAAAAGCTGCCCTTCTTGGGGAAAACTCTGATCTAAAGAAACCTACTGGCAGACATGAGATTCCCCTTTGGCCTGGAAGAAGGGATGGAGAGAAGCCATAACCTCTGCACAGCATGATACTCCAGGAGGAGCTCTTTCTGAAGGTATATTTACAAGGCACTTTGCAGGCTGGTTTTGTTCAGCCTCCAAGCTAATTCCAGACAGTTTAATTGTGCTCACATCCAGCTGAGCCTTAGCTCAACACTCTGCTCACAGCAGAATTCACAGCCCCAGACTCAGTCCTGCACTCCTGGGGATGGCATGTGCTGGGACCCTTCCTCTGTGCTCCAAGAGCTGGGCAGTGTCACACTTCACCCTGGAACAGGTTCAGAAAAAGTTGCATCCCCCTGCTGTGAATAACGGTACTTGTTTCATGATTATATATATATATATATATATATATATATTCTCACCTTGCTTTGTGGTGAAATACAGTCCTGTAACCTGATTTTCATGGAGACATTTACAAATATTAATCCCTTGTCTTCACAACACCCTGAAGTGAAATTATACTTTTGTTTAATTATTTGTTTCACAAAACAAATTTGCTGAGGTATCTCCAAAGGGATTTTTAACCATAAAAGTCTTGGTTTTATTTCAGTGAAATTAGCCTACTGCAGATTGGGTTTTACCTTCAATAGCAAGCTAAAGCCCAGCTGTGCTTTGTCTCTGCTAAAATTGCATGTGAAAGTATGTCAATAGATGTAATAAAAACATACCTCTTCTGGCAGCAATATTGTGGTGGCTGCTTTATACAGACAGAGCCAGAAAATTAAAAGAGGACTGAGTCTAGAATTGTTCTTGTGTTTTACGGGCACTTTGGAAATTTGCTAGTTACATGTTTTGCATTTTTAAATACTGTAAAGCTCTGGCACACAGAAAATGTGCCAACAGTGGATGACTTGCTTGCTCTCCCCAACCAGCATATTAGAGATCTGCACTGGAAATATTTTCTAGATGTCTTAGATTTCTGATAATATTCCTCCACAGTGCCCAAAACCTGGGTTCACAGGGTTCTTAGCCACTATATTCAAGCTTGTGGTAATCCTCCTGAAAAGCAGGGAGTCTGTCCTGTAGTGTCAGGGATGGCATTCAGCACATCATCTCCTGATCTAACGAAGGTGACAAGGAAGGGGGAAGACAAAGTGACCCCAATATGGGTAAAGGATAAGGGGATTTTAAAAAATTTAATCTTGTTAGTGTTCTTCAAGAAGGTGCTGCACAATCCCAGAGGCATTTCTTGCTGCACAAGTAGGAGGCAGCTCCAAGCAGGGGTAAGGGGGCCTTGCCCTTTCTTACCATACTGGAACCACGTGCAGTGCTGGTAAGTGGGTGGAAATGCATGTGAGTGAAGCAAAGGCATCATGCTCTGCTCCTTGGCAATCCTAGATTAGCTCCAGCTCACTCAAGGCAGATTTGCACAGGTGTATCCACACTTGAGAAGCCCAAGGCCAGCCTGAATCAAGCAGGGGACTTTTAAACTGTTTTCACTCATCTGTTCCATTTTAGGACTGGATATACAATAAAGTCATTGAAAAATCTGAAGAAGTTGGTCTCCAGAAGGTGATGATGTAGGGAAGGACACGTGGAGCAATGCTAATCCAGCAAGGCTGCAATTTCAAATTCTGCCCAGAGTGTGTTTTTCCTTGTAGGTGACCTCCATAATCAAACAGCAGCACAAGCTGCTCTCTTGCAAGGTAAGGTCACAGAATCCTTTTCTGGCTTCCACGGTTTCTCCTTGTAAACCCAAGCAACCAAACAGTACTGATGGCCTTGGATTCACAGTTCCAAGGAAATTCCCTCCTTTTACCCTGGGCCAGCATCTTAAGGTATGTTCCTACCTCAGGCCTTCTGCTGCCTCTCATTCTGCTCCTACTGTCAGACACCATTCAGGGGGCTCTTCTTTTTGGGGACTCCTCAGCTTTACCTAATCCCCTTAAACCACTGCACCCTCACCTGTGCTGTACCAGTCTCCAAACTCTACCTGGCAGCATACATGCCTGCATTCTAGATTAGTATCTCTCTATAAAGTCATACATAGAATGTACTCTCCAAAACATTATTGGTTTCAGATCAAGCACTAGGCTCTTATGAAATGACTGAGTTAAGCCTGTCTATTCAAAATCATGTCACATATCACCTTAAATCTTACAGTTTCTCGACTGGTTTCAGTAATTTGATTTTGGGCTTGAAGGCTGAGTTTCATGGGACTACACAGATTGTCATAATTTTTTTCACAGAAAGATGAATTTGTGTTCACTAACATATGCTGTTTGTAGATACAAGGACTAGTTAATATGCTGTTTGAAAATCCAGTAAGATTTGTGAGCTTTACCTGCACAAATTTCTTTTAAGACAGCTGGATATCACTTTTAACAAAGGAGCACTGAGTGAAAATCACAACCAAATTCTCTGGTTATGGTGAGATATGCTACCACACAAAACATTAAATATAAGCTCCTTTGTGAGGAGGAGTGCAAATTTTGTGAAGCGGTAGCAGCAGTACTCCATCCATCCATCCATCCATCCATCCATCCATCCATCCATCCATCCATCACACAACCTCCTCCCAGAGAAGTCTTCAGCCCCAGCTAGGCCTGTGGCACTGCTCTGTCCAACACAGCTCATGGACTTTCCAGGAGTCTTGCTGGTTAAAAACACATTTTAGTATGTTATGCAGTCAGCTTTCAGCCTAATGAGCAGAAGACTTGTTTTCATTACATGATCCAGACAGAATTGATACAAACTTGCTGCAACAGGAACAGCTTTTGGAGTTACTCTTTCAACTTCTTATCTCTCATTCCCAAGTATTTCTGCATACTTTGCAAATGACTAGAAAAGGTCTTATTTCTAGCACACTCTGGATTTTTACAGGAGTGGGGTAAAACTAAGCATTCAGCTGAAGAGTCTGGATCACAGCTCTCAAAAGACCAGTTATATCCTTATTACCTCAGTTCAAATCATTTGAACCAACATTTAATCATGTATCCAGAAGGAAATTCTTTCAAATCTCCTCATCAGCAATGACAAAGAATCACACTGGCAATGTTTTGGGCATATCCAGGGCATACCATCATCAAAACACTACAAAACAGTCCTTTGTTCCCTTCCAACCCGTGAGATGTAAGAGAAAGGGGCTGCAGTTATGTTTTGCATTTTCTAAAACTGCCTTAGTGGTTCTTGGACCTAAATGTTATTTTTAGATGTGCCTTGGCTGCACAGTCCTCAGAAGTCTTCAAGTGTAGAGTAGTTATTAAATCAGTTGAAGTCAGAAGAACTAATCTCCCTGAAAACCTTGGCTACAGGAGCATACATCTACTCTGACTTTGATTTGGAAGTACCTAAGTTGCTGTAAGGCTTAGCACTCAGGAAAATTTATTCTTAAACAAAAGTTCAAATGTGACAAAGACACTGAAGCAATTCCTCTGTAAAGTGGAATTAAAGAGACACAAGGGTGGGAAGGAGGGGGAACAGGCACCAGTCTGTCAAGCATAATAAAAAGCCAAAGCAAACCAGATTTGAGGCCAAGACATCTCTTACCTACAATTACTAACATACTTAGAGGATCAGTAAAAATACCACTTTTTCTGAAAAAAAAATCCACATGGAGCATCTCCAAATGTTGGGCTAGATAAACTCTGCATTTTTAAATTTTATTTTAGTGTCTTTTTGTCACTTCCAGGTGGACTTCTAACCATTACAGCAGGGAATGGCACACAGCATGTGTTACAAACATGGTGCAGTTTTGATACCAAATTAGTCTTCGGATATTTCGAAAAGTAAAACTCTACCTGTTTTCAGCTGTGTTGTAGCAAAGCCCTAGCCTGATTCAGAGCAGGTTTTTTTGCTGCTACTTTCAGCCTCCACATTGCACATGTGTCAAAGGACAGGCAATAAATTCTGCCAGCCAACACACAGCCCTCCAAGTCCCAGCTGGGCATCTCCATCCTCCCACCCCATGTAAAGCAGCACACAGTCACAGGGTCTATAAATTCAGGATGCCACCTTGCCCCATCATGAGCCCCCAGCTAACAGCTCCCACGTATTTCCCCTCCATCCATTGTGCAGCTTGGGAGCAGAGGAGCTCAGCCAAGGGGAACCAGCTTGGGAGATTAGGTAAGGCTGACCAGAACTATTCCTACAGATTTACAGGCATTGAAGACACTCTAGTTGGTGGGTGTGGAAAAGGTTCAAATATTAATAATAAGTATTACTGTACAATAGGTAGTATTTCAAAGGAAACTCAGGGAAGTGCTGTAAGGATAACTCAGATCTGTCCCATGCACCATCTAGAAACATGACTGCGAAGGACAAAATTCTAAGCTTCCAGGTCTAGACCTGAACCTCAGCCAGGTACACTGGCAGTAACCACAAAAGCTGCCTCTTCAATAGACATGAAGCAGTTTCCATCAAAAGGCATTAAACAAATGTGTAATGTAGCAGTCTACTTATGTGAATTTTAAATCATACCATCCTGAAGAATGCTTACATCTGTTGCTAAGTGAGTACTTATCACTGTGGTGAAAAACTGAAAATGGAGAGATAACAGTACAAGACCATCAGCTGCAACACAGGATGACCACAAATCATTCAGATCAGCATTACTGAAAGCAAAAATCCAAAGTCTCTTAGTGTTCTCATAATACAGATAGGTTGGATTTAGTAGACAGAAGTCACATAAGTTGTGGCTCTCCTGTGTTCTTACTGTGCATGGAATCAGGCTTTACCATAGCTAAAATAATTTTACTTTTATGTTTGATGGCACTGAAGAAAGTTGTGTGTTGACAAAGACTTTCTTAAGCAACAAGATATCACTTTAACCTACGTCAGGGCTAAGGTTGCTGACCACGGTTTTTTCTTTTAATTAGATAAGTTGCAAATAAATTCATAGGTAGAGCTCACAAGATTGGTCTAACCTATAACTTTTATAAAGCACCCCCCAACACAATTCAGTGATGATGCCAAAACTATTTTCATTGCACTAAGTAAGTATATGAAAAAAAAACAAACAACAAGACCAAAACAAAAACCCCCACAACCACCACACTGTGCTATTTGTTGGTAAATGTTTTTGGGATGCAGGTATCCATTCAGGGTATGCCTGCCTGCATGGAGCTAGACCTACCTCTTTGGAGCTAGAACTTCATTTAATGCTAACCAACCATCACCACTGCCAGCTCTCCAGATGCTGCACAATGTGGACTAGAAGGATTATTTCCCCAGTATGTATCACATGATATGAGAAGGATAACTTTATATTTCTTGGCGTGTTTTTGTTGTATTATCCTACCTTAAGCATTTTTACTCCTAACCCTTGTATAAAGCCCAAAAAATTTCACAGGAGTTATGCCTTCTGCTTCATGTTTTCAAATACATTTTTACCCTCTACTAGTTTTCCCAGCAGAGCCAGGCAGTTGAAAAAAGCCTGATATTTTAGGCAGTAATTGTGGTCTCATGCATATCAAGTTGACTCTGGAGTAATTCAACAAAAATCAAAAGAATCATATTCATGCTACTGCTGACTTTGAATTAACAGTAAGGAAGAGTGATGAAAACTGCCTGTCGGAATCTTCCTGCCAAAATTGCTAATGAGAAAGGGAAAAAAATCCAACCAACCAGCTTTAGTTTCCAGATTATGAAGGGGCGAATCTGTAAATCAGAAGCAACCTTCCCTCTCCTCCCATGTCTTAAATTGAGAACTACACACAGCTAATATGAAATCAAAGCTCAGAAACTATGAAATCTTAATGCTCATTTATTTTTAGAACAGAGACAAAAGCTTCTAAAAGCATTATCATAAACAAAGATCCATCTTCATCCAGAAGCAAGGCAAAAGAGCTACCTCTATGAAGTGTTCTGCAAAGCAAACATTTCAGTAATATATCTGGCTTAGGGCAATACTATATTTATCATTAAATGTCTACTCAGGTATTCCCAACAGAATTTCCTTAAATATGGTATCAACAAGTACATATAGATGAGAGCTGCAAAGATTTTAGGGCATTTTTCAGTTGTAATTATCTGCTGAATGTTATATATACCAATGGAAACATCAGAACCAGGAGCTCATTTTGTTACAGTTTTAAGATGAAATGGGAGAATTAAGAGTTAACTCCCCAGGAGAACATGAACATCCCAAAGCCAGAGCTGGGAACGTTGCTGTTGCCTGGCAGGATCCTGAGGTGAGCATCTGCCTCTCACTGAGCAGAAGATGCCCATGTTATATATAGAGAGACATGCTGAGCAGAAAGGTGAATGAACTTCCCCTCTGCTAGAGCTTCAAATTTCAGGAAGATTTCTGTACCAGTCTAGCTGGGGTTCTTGGATTTAGGTTTGTGTGTCAGGCTTTTCACATACAATGAAATTCCTTCTCTTGCCTTTTAGTGCCAGGGAGCCCTTGAGAAATCAAGGCTATATGCTCACAAAAGAAGAGGATTTAAACCAGGGATTCAGGCACGTGCCATCAATCACCAGCAAGCAAACATTTGGGTAAAAGGGTGAAGCACTATAATTTATTTCCTCAATGTGATTTCTGGCTAAGGTACCCTGAAGTGGTCATAAATAAAAGACGCTTAAATTACCGTAAAATAATTAATTTTTAAATATGAAGAATGATTTAAAGATTAATTATTCACAATCTCCTTCCTACCTGCAACCCATTTCTTAATATGCCATTTTTCCTTTTCATCCTCAAAACCACTCATATTCCAAGACCATTGCAGCTATTCCATGGTGCTGTCTTGTGTCTTCACAGCATTATTAGGAAAAAAGCAGACATTGTGACAAATTTAACAAGTATTTACAACCAGCTACATTAGCAACAAACAAACTACAACTCCTTATCGCAGAGCTCTTGTAGCTGAAATGCTCCATGAATAAAAATTATATTAACTACTAGAGCTTAATGCAGTCAGAGAAGGGCTGAGTGCACAGTGTTAATTTACATGAACACTGCATTTTGATAATTGCTATATCAGTGTAAAGCTAACACTACAAGTGAGGTCATTGAGCTGAGTTCTCACTTAACAGAAATACAAATATCTTGAGGGATGGAAGTGCACAGATAAGGTAACCAGGCAATCTTGCAGTTGTTTACTGAGCTGTAGCAATCGATGCAGGACTAAGGCATTTTGAACTGCTGGTCTCAGGCTGTATGAAGTTACTCCCATTCTAACTGCTGGTCTCAGGCTGTATGAAGTTACTCCCATTCTGATTGTGTCTTGTTTTCACAGAGTCACCAAAGGGTAAAGAAAAGGGCTGATGCAGATTTAGGGAGGCTTTCACTTCTCATCTGCACAAATTGACCTGACCCTGCTGCAGCCCATAGAATCATAGCAACTGAACAGAAGATTTATCAGTAAAATAGTTCAGTTATAGATAGTTTGTGGATAAGAGTACATTCATTTTCATTTTATTGGGGAAACAATTCTGTGTTAGTCCATCATCAAGACTACCTGAAACAAAGGAAAAAACTAGTTTAAAATTCCTTGAATGATGTCAATATTTAATTGATTTCATGGACAAAATTAGAAAATTTGCTTGTATACTCTCAGAAAACACATTCTGGATTTCAAGGGTACATGTACTGAATCTGGGGAGGGAATACCTTATTTTCTGCCATCTGTATGAACTGGGCAACACAGAGCCCAGAGAGTACCTAAAAATACAGGCCTACCTGGGTGAGCTGTGTAAGCACAGAGGTTATCTGAAGCAAGAGGTGGTAAACCATTCATCACCTGTGTCAGAAAATACAGATTAAAAATACCCAAGCAGCTATATCAACATGGAAAATCTGCCAGCACTTCCAAGGGCAGGGATCTCATTTCCTAAGCTCTGCTCTGCTTTTCTGGGATCTGGTATCAGACCAGTAAGCAGCCTCCCAAGGGGAGGAAGTGTGATCTGCACAAATCTGAATGAGTAACTTACCAGTGTGGTCATGGAGATCGAAACCATTCCATCAATCCAAGCTGATACTGAGGGATACAACCCTTCTTTGCCTTGTAGCTTGCTTAGTGGAATGTACATGGGAAGTTTTAAATCTTCTAACAGCCTAGCTTCCCTGTTTTAAGCAAGCTTCCTGAGCAGCTGCTGGAGGGGATCACTCACAATGTTCCTTTCAGGTAAGATGGCTGCACTGGCGTAGCAAAGCATATACAGAAACACGTCTGCAACTACAAAAAGGTCTCATGAAACCCCATCTTTTAAAATTGTTATATCTTTACCAGCATATTCCCTTTTCTAGAAGGGAAAAAACACAAACCCTCACAACCTTTCAATTACATAAAACCATAACAAAGTTATAGAATTACCATGCCTTGCCAGAAACCTTTCACCTATGTTTAAATTGCCTTATTTAACGAAGTGCAGTTTAGTGCAATGAGATACAATCTTTCCACGTGCTTCTCTGGCCCACTAAAATGAGCAAGGAGCATGATCTGATGCATGCCTGTTATACCCTCTGTCCCACCTGGGCTCTGCTACTCAGTGTAATAAAAAGTGGTGCAGCAAATCTTCAGCATGACTGTTAGTAACGCCAATATTCACATTTTGCTCCAAACCAGCATATACCTACCCCTCTCTGGAGGGATCCATTTATGTACATGAACACAATACCATTCAACTAGTTTCCTCTTCTTCTGTCCCTGGCCAAGACATGTTGGAGAGGGCAGGATCCTGCCAGCCTCACTAACTCCCTGCTTCCCCTCCTGGTGGGGCAGCCTTAATGGCAGAGACTGCGCTTCGCTCCCAACCACCCTGGGATTTCTCCTAGTGCTAATTTCACATCTCCTGGGAAAGAAATATAATGAGAACTGGCTACGAAGCAGTCATTTCCATTTGTAAATGGGATAGCACAAAGGAAGAAATGAGAACAAATTTCCATATGTACAGTCTCTGCTAAACAATCATCTCTGCAAATCTTTCCCCAGCGTGTGTGGTGCACGCTGCCTTTATGGGATCAGCCGCATAACCAGAATAATTAATTAATCCAGGCACCGTCGCATCAGCTCAGAGGATCCAATAGAACAGAACTGGATCAGATCTGATTTCAGACCACAGTTCATGTGCAATGGTGTGGCTACATGGATTAGCTATTTTACAGATAAATTTGGGCTAATTAATGAATACTGCATCTCAAGCAGGCCCCAGCTGCAATCAAATATCTTTGTTTACAATCACTACATGTCAAAACAACACTTCCCCACATCCTCATTTTTAAATTAAAACAGCAAGATGCCCAAAAGAACACAGTGGCTACAGAGGCTGGCTGGGCATGGGCAAAGCCAGTGTTGGAGAAGGACAGAGTGCAGAGTGTCCATAGTTTACCCAATCTAGCTGGAGAAGAACCAAAAGACTGCCTGTTTTTTTGCTGTGGGTGGGGCAGGGGGACAGGGTATATGATTCACCCTGCTGAAATAGGCCGCTTATCTTCTGAAGACAGTGTCACTCCCCATCTTGACAAGGAGAGTAATGCCAATTTCTTTGGCAGTAATTAGCATACATACTAGAGAGGACAGAAGGTTCATTTTCTTCCCTTCTTTATTTTCAGTTGGCTCTTCTACTGATTCTACATGAATTATTACTAAGAATCAATGCCTTATGCTGAAGTAAATATTCTGGATGAAATGGAAGAGCTTCTCAAATTTTATGCATCGTCACTGAATGCAGCTGATTTTTGCACAGGAGATGAACATTTAGAAAGAAAAGTATCAGTTTGTTTTACTGGTTCTTTTCCCTATCTGGAAATCTTAAATGCACAATCTGATTGTCTAGCCACCATATATCACCTTACTAATTCCTTAAAAAAATCTTTTGAACAGATACTGGCACATCCACGATAGATTTGGAAAGTTGCTGTTTTTTGATCAGATTTTCCAACACAAGTTTTAGCATTCTTCACATCTGCTCACACTGTATTCATCATATGGGTCAAAACTGCTCTTGATAAGTCCTTCTTCCCCTTTGAAGAATTACTTTGCATTGGGATTTGCCTCAGATTCACTTTTCTGCAGAACTGCAAGATAACTATGGATAAAAGACCTTCGTCTGTCCTTCAGTGAGTACTGGCCTCAAGTGAAGAGCTCAGCTGCAGTCAAAGTTTGTTGTAACAAAGAAGCCTGATTAAATAAGCAAAATTTACCATTTGGCAGAGTCCTTCAGCCGTTCATAAAAGTCGAAGACAATACTAAATGTTTTGATCAGACACTGTTCTTAAGTCTTTGACTTGCATCCTTGATGACCTTTCAATCACATTCAAATACATTTCAATTACCAAGGCAGAAAAATTACCCTGGCAGATGGATCAAGGTCATTATCAATTTACTAACATCTCTATTTTCCCTTTTTTACTGAAGTCCCTTCTATGGCTTACATAATACATATAGTAATAAACTATTATTTTATTCCTCAGAGAGTGATGTAGCTTAATTTTTTAAAATCCTAACCCAAACTAAACAGATGATATAATTTTTGGGTAGAATACTTGAGAAGCTGTGGCATCATTTGTGTTTCAATTTTGATCTGCTAATGGAGGCCTTAAAACACAAAAAATGGAAGAACAAAGAAGGGCAAGAGCGAAAGAGTGACTCAAATGACTCTCGACAAAAAAAAATATGAAAAATTAAAGTGTTTAAGTAATCAAGTTGATCTCCAGTAAAAAGAAAGAGATGTCACAAGTGGACTCAGAATCCAACTAGGGAAACAGCAACAGAAAAGATGGGAAGCTTTTAACTCTTGTTAAAAAATACTTTCTTTTAGAAAAGTAAACTGTAAGAAAGATTCAATAACAATATATTTTTTTCAAATCTTTATTGGTTATTTTTAGTCATAAAAGTAAAGAAAGCTTGTACATCAACACAAGCACTTGGGTGTGCCTCAGCAGGGACAACAGACAGCTCAGCTTGCCTCGTGCCTTTGGTGTATACATGCATCCCATACGTGCAGAACAGATAACAAAGGTCACGTGGCAAAAGAGACCCCCAAAAATGATCAATGTGTAATATCACATTAGGACTAACTACAGTGGCCTTTACCAGATAGAAACAGGTCCAGTCTTTTGAGCCTTCTTCCAGAGCTAATGATGCCAGTTTTGTTTCAGCCTGAAGACTTAAGATAGTCTACAGTGAGGAGTTGTAGGCTTGGCACAGGTTGACCAGGAGCTTAATTATAGCTGTCATCTCATTAATACAGAAAAATTTTATTGCCTTCCTCTTTCAGATATAAGTGGACTTAATCTTGTATCTCAATCAGGCTTAACAGAACATTAAATACAAGTGCTGTCAGTACCCAGCTTCTTTGATGAAGGCAGCAGTACATAAAGCTGAATTGAATTAATAACTAAATTACTCCTGCAGAACTCACATGATGGTAGAAAAATTCTGCAAAAAGTCTTAAGTAAATGTTAACATTTTCAACAAAATAATCACTGTCTTTGATTAATGGAGATCTAATCAGACTATACATTAATTTGGAATAATCTATGAACTGTCATGGAAGTAATTTGTGTCATCTCAAACCCAGTACAAATTTGTCAAAGTAATACATGTAATACAAGGTCTTGATGTAATTAACTTCAGTGATTAAAACTCTCATAAACTGTGTGTCCTTGGCCAAGCACAGCACTGCCATGGTCTCAGTTTCAAAAGAGCTGATGGGTCAACACTTACTCCTGTAGCACAAGTACAGGGAGGTTACTCCAGGCAGACCTGTGCAGTTGGTTACACCCCTGTGCCTGCACTGGGATAAAATCATACATACTTTACGTAACACCAGAGACAGTGGGAAGATACAAAAAGTGCAAGACAAAAATCTTAAAAGACTGTTTTTTCAGAATCATGCTGAAGACTTAGCATATTAAGTGACATCTGGGTCTGTGGCAGGTCTTCCTTATTTTTTTACTTTGTTAGTAGCCATGCTCATTGTAGCAGCTGCACACCATGCTATAGCAACAATATAGTTGCTATAAAGTACTATACAATAATATTTTGACAAATTTGTACTGGGTTTGAGATGTTGCTTTTCATGGGGTAGTAGTTATATTGGACTGGATTCTCAAAAGGAAACATGCTTCTCCCCAGGAAGCTTCAGCTGGAGGCTCCTTCTGGAGCTGCCCCCAGTGCTGGGCTCAGCTCTTTGCCTCCTTTGGAAGCTGTTCCATGGCTCAGTTAGAGTCACTACATAAACACCCCAGCATTTTCTGTAACCTCACAGCTTGCACACTCTCCTGTAGCAAAATGGAATAGAGAGGTCCTCTCCCTGCTCCACAGACTACATTTGGTTTCTATCCAGTAAATGCTTGAAGTAAATCAGACTTTCCAGTATGGCCCACAACTGGCAGAAACTACATCCTTACAGATGCTTCCAGATTGTCTTTAGCGTTTCCCAGGAGGCATAAATAGCCCAGACCATGGAAAGAACATCTCACTATTTCACATTACCTGAGCAGTAGGCAGTAAAGGTGAGGGCAGACTTTCAGAGGAAGAAAAAAACCACACAAAAATAAGAGCATCGTAAAGGACCCCTAACCTATGTGAGACAGACACACTAAGACAGACAATCCTGGAGGGAAAAAAAGGGGGATGGAACCAAAAGAGCTGTTTCATCTCACAAGATACATTTTGACAATTCTTCTAGACTGCCAAAGCAAGTAAATGCTGACTCTATCTCCTAGCTTCTCCTGTCCTCATCTCACAACCTTTCATCAGCAATACTGTTACTTAAAAAAGAAGTAGGAGACAAATCTTGTGTGTTTGACTGCACTGCAGGAGCCAGATTCAGCGAGAGACAGAGCAGAAATGCTTAACCCAATGAAAAGGAGATACCTTCACATTAGTGAGTGATCAGGACTTTTTTAACAAGGACTTGACCTTTCTAAACCTGGCATAGGTCAAACAAATCGAGACATGACTAGTTCATGGCAATCCCTTTTATATACAATACAGTGGATTTTTCATGTACTGTTGCCATAGAAGACTACTGGCAGCTCAAAAAGCTCAAAAACCAGTGCACTGAAAGGATCTTCTAACACTACTGTGTTTCTGCTTTGTGACTTCCTGCTCATCATTCTGTGCTTATTGAGCTCCATTCACAAACCCCAAAGAATTTGGTGTCACAGCAGGGCTGTGGAAAAGCACATCACAGGGAGGAATGAATGTGAATTGCTACTGACTGACATCAGGCAGAAGAGTCAAAATCTACTCCCAGGTCCTCTACTGATTTACTTCTTCTCTCTATCTCTTTGTTTCCCTTTGCTATTTGCAAAGCAACTGGAACCACAAAATTCTTCAAATGTTTAGGTCAAAAGTACAATACTGGACAGCAAGAAGATACACACATCTATTGCCATATTTTGCTGCTCAAAATTGCTGGCAATCTACTGTAACCTTAAAGTGACCAAGGCAGATTCAAATGAAGTTAGGAGAAGAAACCATACTCTTTTGCTCTCTCCTCAGGAGTAACAATTTTTGACAAACCAGGTTTATAAGGGCAGGTGTTTTGGGACACTTTTCAACAATTTCGTCTAACAAGCTGCTAAGTGCAACAGAGGTTTTACTGAAATAAAGACAGGTGCTATTTAATTTTCTTTTTCCAGAAATGGCATCATGATGTAAAATTTGCATTATCAGGCTAATGCAAATTCAATGTTTAATGCATCATTAAACAGGTCAGCTCACACAGTGATGTGCACAGAGCTTCATGGTAGTGTCACCATCAGGCTCATTGGAAAGATGTCTGAGAAACAACAGAATCATCTTGCAGCAGCAAGGGCTAGGAAAGGGTTTTAACTGTGGTTGTTGCAATTGGGACAGCACTTACATTCAGCATAAAGCAGAAAGATGGCATC